TCAAGTCCATTTTAAATTGTTTCAACTATTTTATTTAAAAAGTTGTTTAAATTACACTTATTTCATTATGAGCTGTTTTGTGTGGTCTGCCTAGAAAATGAGGTGACAGATCCTTAAAAAATGTATAGAAGTAAAGGAGGAAGAGGTCAACTGCTGTTCAGTGGATTTAGAATGTCAGGAAGTATAACTTGGGAATACTTGGGAGTGATGAAGGGAAAAGAGGGGGAACAGATAGGCAAAGCTGATGATGGGGTAAAGGAGCAGTGATCCTGGGATCCTGTGGAGTGAATTAAGTAAGGAAGGCTAGCTGTTGGAAGCAGCAGCTGAGCTGGTTGGCAGAATGGTACAGCCAAGGTTAGCGGGAGGGAACATTTGGGTCCCAAGGTGCTGTATTGCTACTCCCATTAGTCTCAGCCAGCATAGCCTATGATGATGGCTGATGGGAGCAACCTATTCCCCATCGTTCAGCTAGGCAATGAAGGAAATAATGGCTGTGAGATGCAGGAGACCTGTCAGCCTGCAGTGCAGAGGATCTGTCACTGGAGAGTGTCACTTCAGTGTGACATTCAGGCAGCATCTAAGAGGAAACTGATGACACATCAGAAAAAATAAAGGAGAATGACTCAAAGAATTCTGTGAAGCCAACAATTTGTTTAACGCCAATATATATCTTTAGGCAACTGATCAGATGACTGTATACATGGACATCACCAGATGGCCAATATGCAAATCAAACAGAGTACATAATTGGAAAGATTAAATGAAGAAGCTGTATGCCCACTGCCAAAAATCCATGAGAAGATTATGGCAATGACCATAAACTGTTAATGTCCAAAAAATGGAGCAAAGCTGGAAAAGATCATCAAGAGAAACACAATGCTAAAATACAAGTTCAGTAACATCCTTGAGGAATTCAAAGTCCATGCAAACAACTTTGCACTGACCATGAACTAGAAGACCTGTGGACTGAAACCAGAGACATTGTTAGGGATGAATGCCAAAAGACAATTCCTGTAGCAAAAAGAAAGAAAAAGCCTAAATGGATGACAGAAGATGCCAATGTCAGACAAGAAGCAAAACCAAAACATGACAGAAATGGGGTGAGAACCCTGAAAGCAACTTTTCAGTGACTATCATGTAGGAACCCCCCCCCCAAAAAAAGCCTATTCCAATGAGTAGCACAAAGAAAGTAAACAGAATAACAAAAGAAGAAAAACAAGAGACCTCTTTCGGAAGATCCAAGAAAGCAAAGGGAAATGCAAACTTGGATTAGGAATGCTAAATTACCAACAAGGGAACGTACTATCTGACCAGGAGAACATATAGAGAAGCTGGAAATAATACATGGAAGAACTATGCAGAAGCAATGAAAGGATGACAGATTCTTTTGAAGAGAAATTCTAGGAGGAAGAACCTGAAATTTTAAAAGGCAAAGTGAAAGCTGCTCTGAAAGCACTTGGAAGGAATGAAGCACCTGGAATAGGTAAGGTACCCATAGAACTATTCCAAGCAACAGAGAGTGAATTAGTCCAAATCCTGCCATGAATATGCCAATAAATGGGGGGTGGGGTGGCAGTAGGCCAACAGATTAGAAATGTTCAGTATATGTTCCAACCCCGCCAAAAGAAGATGCTAAGGAGTGCAGCAGGTATAGGACCACTATACTATTTTCTTACGATAACAAGGTGATGCTCAGTATATCACAACAAAGAATTTTGCCCTACATGGAACAAGAAATGCCATATATTCAAGCTGGTTTCCAAAAAGTAAGATGTATTTGAAACTACATTGCTGGTATATGCTGACTACTGGAACCCACCAAGAAATTTCAGAAGATTAGTCTATGCTTTATAAGCTAATGTTTTTGCTAATACTTGTGCAGATCATGAGAAGCTAGGAATGGTCCTGAAAGAAATGGGTGTGTCTCAGCACTTGCTTGTACTGATATATAACCTGTATTGTGGACCAGAAACTAATGCAAGGACAGAATATGGAGAAACAGAATGGTTTGCTATAGGCAAGTGTGTCAGACAAAGATGTATTTTATTCCCCTATCTGTATAATCTGTATGCAGAATGTATCATAAGGAAATCTGGATTAAGATCACAAGAAGAAGTAGTGAAAAATGGAGGACAACACATCAATAATTTAAGAAATGCATATGATACCATATTACTGGCAGAAAGCAGCAGTGAACTGAAATGACTCCTGATGAAAATGAAAGAAGAAAGTGTAAAAGCAGGACTGCAGCCAAATATTAAGAAAACAAAAATCATGACTACAGAAGAATTACAGAACTTTACGGTCAACAGATCAGAAATTGAAATTATGAAAGATTATGCATACCTTAGGTCAGTCATCAATTCAGAGGGAGACTGCAGCCAAGAAATTAGAAGGAGACTGACACTCAGAAGGGCACCGATGAAGAACTATAAAAGATCATCAACTGTAGCAATGTTTCACTACAGACCAAGGCCAAGATCATCCATACTATTGTATTCCCAACCAATATTTATGGGTGTGAAAGCCAGACACTGAAGAAAGCTAGCAGGAAGAAAATGGATGTGTTTGAAACATGGTGCTGGAGGGGAGCTCTGTGAATATCCTTGACCAAGAGAAACTTTCCCTGGAAACAAGAAACTGTAACTGAAAACTGCTGTACTTCAGGCACATAATAAGAAGAGAAAGCTGAAGGCAAAAGAGGAGGAAGACCAAATAGGAGATGCCTTGAATCCATAAAGGAAGCCACAGCCTTGACTTTACAAGAGCTAAGCAGGGCTGTCAAGAAGAAGATGTTTTGAAGGGCATTCCTTCATAAGGTTTCCATAAGTTAGAGACAAACTCATGGTACGTAACCTTTACGAACAGCTGTCTCAGGTGCATAATATCTGTATCATTAATCTTCTTTACCCTTGCTCATAGCCTCCTCCTTACTTTCAAGGGAAGAGCATTTACTAATTTCCAGTCCCCTCCTTTGGCCACATCCCCACCTACACCTTCTAATGACAGCATACCCAAATATAAATAGTTCATAATTTAAATTATCCTAAAATATAATAGGAAAGCTGTGCTGGTTTAGTTTTACATCTAAAATCTTTCACAGTTTGCCGATTATGGTTTGCAAATACATTATCTTACTTGCGACACTGTATGCCTGGTCACTACGTATCAACCAAGACCTTCATTCCTTCCTAGAAAGTAAGGATCCCATAGCATTTATCTATGCCTTTGTACCTTTCAGAATTTGCCAGAGCATTGTGCCTGACATGACCCTTTCTTTAAAACTGCCAGAGAATTCAGCTCATGAAGAAAGTTGAGCAACATCTTTTGGATGATGAGAGTCAACATAATGACAACTGCACTAGCTCACAACCTGGGTAATGTTTCAGTCATAGACCTATATATCTTAAGTGCCCTATTCCCATCTGAATATACCTGCATGTTGATTCCTGCTTCATGTCCTATATATAAGGCAATTAACCACCTGCAGCATGAAGCAAGCATTTTTGGTAATGGCCCTCTGACTGTGGAATGACCTCCCAGAGGAGGTGTAATATAAAACACTCCTGGCCTTGACAAGCTGGTGTGATGCCCATTTGTTTGCAAAGTCTTGCTGTAAGCTTGTCACTTGTAAGTAATGTTCATGCTCCAAAATTGTTTTTAATGTTGCTTTTGAATATATATCTATCTGTTATCTGATAAAGCTAATTGGCTGTATTGTAATTGCTACAGTAATTGGTGGAAAGAAAAGATAACCTAAAAAAGACGGAATTAGCTGTCTTACAACCTTTTAAAGAGGCCAGATTCTAGGACCATGTCTACTAAGGCATAATACATAACTATCTTGTTGAAGGCACGAAAGTCTATGTCTGCTCAATGCTTGGACAGGAGACCTCCTGGGTAACCCATGCGTGTTACCTTGAGCTCCTTGGAAGAAAGGTAATACTAAGTTAATAAATAATACAAGTGTAGACACGCTGCACTGTAGAAACATCTTATAACAGAACATTTTAATTTTCAGACTGCTCTATATAAACTGTCTCATATAGTAGCAGCCTATATTCCTTCGCAAGCCATATGTAGTATAGAAGCAAGCAGTGCCAGGAGTTCCTCTTTCATATGAGTACATTTAAACCAGTATTAGAAGGGCAGATTTCCAGTGACAGCCTGGAATATCTCTTAATAACCATCATACTTAAGAAATAACAAAGGTTATGCTGTAATGGGAATTAGTGTATTGTAATCACATAGTGCCATTCAGCAACCAGCTAAATATGCCCATGTGCCATGAAAAGAGACACTTAGCCACAGCATGAATTCCATATCCAAAAAACCTTTTACACTCTTGAGAGTTCTTTACTGAATGCTGTATATGTCTTAGATTATAAATCATCATTGCTTAAACTTTTTGCCAATGAATCATTTGCTGCTTTATGCATACCATGATACATACGTTATTAAATGACATTTTCAGCATCTTAAGGTATGTAAAATGATTAGACATTTACTTCAAAACATACCTTCCCACATTTTTAAAGGAACTGAAAATTCCCACACATTCCTCCACAGAATTAACTATCCTACTTGAAGATTTGACTTTCATATGCACAAATCTCTATTCATTGTCTTGAATAATGTCTTTTGCATATGTCTCTGCATGTTATAACAATTGAAATCCAGAGCCCCTATGTAGTCTTTAACTTGGCTTTACAGTAAACAAAAATCTGGCCAATATAATTCACAGTGAAAAAAAATTAGGGCAGAGTGTCTGGGAAATGAATACACAGTAATGCTGAGAACAACAGATGCCTGGAAGGGACTGTCAGACTTGATTGTATTAAAGCAGCTCACATTAGAAAAAATGAAGCTCCTATATGCTCCTACAGTAATTCTTTCTAATCTAGCAGAAGTTCAGGGTGTATATGTGTGCGCGTGCGTGCGTGCGTGCGTGCATTTTTAAGGCCATTTTTAAAAATCTGAACTAGAAATACTGGACTTACCTCTGCCCTTTTGAGCATTTCCCATTTATTTAGTATTTTCATTGCATAAATGCGCTCTGTGCACTTCATTTTAACAACTGCAACCTATAATTAAAAAAATAAGAATACAGTCAATGACATTCAACATTTTGAATGAATTCCTCATTGTTGACATTATATTGTTGAAGAGAACAATACCACAATATAAATATCAGCTTATAATTATGCTGTGCTGTAGAACACGTTTAACATAGCACTGACCATCATTTTCATACTGACAGAGAAAATTTACACAGTAAGTGTAAGTCTTATAAACAGGCAGCATATAAATGTGATGATGACGATGATGATGAGCTAAACCATGTGCACAAACACTTATCAAGAATAGGCAACATTTGTACAGTTCCAACTCTCTACAAGTGTCCATCTGTGGGGGAAGCTTGCTCCCACACCTCAGATACTTACAAGTAAGCACATTGAAGGCCATAAGGCCTGAAGGAGCGTGTCTTGCAGGTTGCAGGAAATAAACAACTAAAATCAAAACTGAAAGATAAAGAGAATGCCAGAAGAAAGAGAAAGCAAAGATAAAACTTCAGCACTTACAAATAATTGTCCAAATTTAGCTGACAAACATCCTTAGGGAGCAACCACTATGGTGGTTGAAGAGAAAATAAGAAAATAGGTGAGAATCTGCTAGGGACATTTGTACTAGGATGGTGGGATAGGATTTCCATCAAAATTCTTTAGCTTTAGCTTGCTGAAATCATGCTCTGTGTAGGCACAGAACCCATATGTAAGATGCATAAGAACAACATCATAATTTTACTACAAGACCTGCTAACGGAAGAAGCCTGATCATGTTTGGATGTATACTCAAAGTAACTTCATAAGATCAGCTCTCCCTTATCACACTTTCTACACATAGTTTGGGTGGTTAAAACTGTCACATACAGGATAGGTGAAGTACTGCAAATTCCTAGACACCAACATGATTTGTTTTGAACCTAGGTTAATTCAGCTGGGATAGGAATGATCTTATGCCCATGGCCTCAGAAAGAAACAAAGCAGATAAAAGACAGGCAAGCATAATCCCTGGCCATAAGGAAACACACGCCACACACATTAAATAGCCATTAAACATTGGCTGTTTTCCTTTGCCTATCTCTTACACTAACGAGGAAGCAATCCAAGAAGACTTTGCCTATTTCTTGATTTACCTAGTGGTCTACACTGCTATATGCCAACAGGGTCTATCATCAGTGTTCTATTCAAAATATGGGTCCAATTAAAAATGAGTTACTGAAACGAGTCTTACAGGATGCTCCACTTATGCATTTCTAATCCCTGGCATCTCCAGTGAAGAGGATGAGGTAGCAAGTGAAGCAAAGGATCTCTGCAGGACACCCTAGAAAGCTGTGATGACTCAAAAAATAGGCTATCCTAGGCTAGTCAGATGAATAATCTGATCAAGTATAAGGCAGTCTCTGTATTTCAAGGCAGCATAAAGGCCGCCATGAATATTCTGTCAGAAAAAAATGATTGGTCTTTAATGAAATGCATTTTAAGAGACAGCTGGAGGGTAGTGGGGTGGAGGATCCTTCCGCTAAGCCTAACAGACATCTTTACTAAGCTAACATGACTCCTTCTAGTAAGCTAAACACATTTTGGAGGACAAAACATACACACTTGACACCTTAAAATCTACAAAGCTGAAAACAAAATCAAGATTAGATGAATATGGGCATATTTAGATATTTAGCATCTTTGAGATGACAGCACTTTGTCTAGAAACCAGCCAGGAAAGCTCTGACAGTTCCTGAAAAGTAGCAGGGAAAGGAATCGGCTTTATATTGATACTAGCATGTTGCTATAAGCAAAACTACCTTGTTAAAAGTGTGGATCTCCAATAATGTTTTTTCAAAACTCCACCTTTTATAGTTGGAGAGATAGATTACAAAACAGGAGGAAAGTCTGTGCCCTGTGTACTTTTATTTGTTATTATGTGATGCAAACTGTCCTAGGAGTTATTCGACTAGAGGTAAGGTGTAAAACTGTGTTAAACAAACAAACAAACAAACAATTATATAGTAATTTTGACTAACAAGCAGTATAAATATTAATAAATAAATAAGCTACCTATTTTGCTTTCTCTGCCAACTGCTTCTCTTGTCCATTAGCCCAACCGTGGAAATTTAGTTATTTATTTAAAACTTATGCTCCACCTCTCAGCCCCCATATGGAGTTTAGCATCATATTACTTTATTGATGTGTCAGGGACAGAACTCATGTCCTTTCCCACAAGCATGCTTTCTCAATGTGTAAGTCCATCTTCATTGTCTCTCTACTCCTCTATATACTCAATCATGAAAACACTCAGGGATATTTCATCAGGAAGTGAATCTAGAGCACAGATAGCATGCGTTCCCTCAATTTTTATAGGTAGGTATAACAGCTGGCAAGTAGTTGTAGGAGGAAGAGGTATGGCCTTCCATACTCAGAAGTAAGGCTGAGCTCCAGTATTATACTGCAGCATTTGCAATTAGTAACATATAGCATCAAGAGTGACATCAACCCTTGATGTTGTACTATATCTCTATAAGTACCTCAAAAGATGTCACAAAGAGGAAGGTCACAATTTCTTCTTGCTCATATCAGAGTGCAGGACAAAAAATAATCATTTCAAGCTGTGACAAGCCAGATTGAGGCTAGATATCAGGAAAAGTTTCCTCAATGTCAGAGCAATACGACGGTGGAACCAGTTGCCTACAGAAACTGTGGGCTCTCCCACACTAGAGACATTCAAAAAGCAACTGGAGAGCCATCGGAGTGGGATGGTGGAAACTGGTGTCCTGCACCAGCAGGGGGTTGGACACGATGGCCTTCATGGCCCCTTCCAACTCTATTATTCTATGATCAACAGGGGAGTCCCCATCTCGTTTGCTCTGTAGCCACCATTAGAGAATAGGCAGGCTCATATGTGAATATACAGTAGAGGTGACAAATAGATTTAAGGAATTAGATCTGATAGACAGAGCGCCCGAAGACCTATGGATGGAGGTTCACAACATTGTACAAGAGGTAGCAACTAAAACCATCCCAAAGAAAAAGAAATGCAAGAAAGCAAAATGACTGGCTGAAGAAGCTTTAGAAATAGCTGAGGAAAGAAGGGAAGCAAAAGGCAAGGGAGAAAGATACACCCAATTGAATGCAGAATCCCAGAGAATAGCTAGAAGAGATAAGAATGCCTTCTTAAATGAACAGTGCAAAGAAATAGAAGAAAACAATAGAATAGGGAGGAGCAGAGAACTCTTCAAGAAAATTGGAGATGTGAAGGGAACATTTCATGCAAAGATGGGCATGATAAAGGACCAAAATGGCAGGGACCTAACAGAGGCAGAAGAGATTAAGAAGAGGTGGCAAGATTACACAGAGGAACTATACAAGAAAGAGCTTAATGTCCCCGATAACTACGATGGGGTAGTCACTGACCTCGAGCCAGACATCCTGGAATGTGAAGTCAAATTGGCCTTAGGAAGTCTGAGCAACAACAAAGCTAGTGGAGGTGACAGTATTCCAGCTGAGCTATTCAAAATCTTAAAAGATGATGCAGTAAAAGTGCTCCACTCAATATGCCAGCAAATTTGGAAAACTCAACAGTGGCCGCAGGATTGGAAAAGGTCAGTTTACATTCCGATCCCAAAGAAGGGCAATGCCAAAAAATGTTCAAACTACTGCACCATTGCACTCATTTCACATGCTAGCAAAGTGGTGCTCAAAATCCTACAAGCTAGGCTCCAGCAGTATGTGGACTGAGAACTACCAGAAGTACAGGCAGGATTTCGAATAGGGAGAGGAACTAGAGATCAAATTGCCAACATACGCTGGATCATGGAGAAAGCTAGGGAGTTCCAGAAAAACATCTGCTTCATTGGATCACAACCAATTGTGGCAAGTTCTTAAAGAGATGGGAATACCAGACCTTCTTGTCTCTTAAGAAACCTATATGCGGATCAAGAAGCAACAGTGAGAACTGGACATGGAACCACTGATCGGTTCAAAATTGAGAAAGGAGTTTGGCAAGGCTGTATATTGTCACCCTGCCTATTTAACTTATAAGCAGAGCACATTATGAGAAAAGTGGGGCTAGATGAATCACCAGTTGGAATTAAGATTGCTGGGAGAAATAACAACCTCAGATATGCAGATAATACCACTCTAATGGCAGAAAGTAAAGAGGAACTAAAGTGCCTCTTGATGCGGGTGAAGGAGGAGAGTGCAAAAGTTGGCTTGAAACTCAACATTAAGAAAACGAAGATCACAGCATCCAGTCCTCTCACTTCCTGCCAAATAGATGGGGAAGAAATGGAGGTAGTGACAGATTTTATTTTCCTGGGCTCCAAGATCACCGCAGATGGGGACTGCAGCCAAGAAATTAAAGGAAGCTTGCTCCTTGGGAGGAAAGCTATGGCAAATCTAGACAGCATACTAAAAAGCAGAGACATTACCCTGCCAACAAAAGTGCGTATAGTCAAGGATATGGTTTTCCCAGTTGCAATGTATGGCTGTGAAAACTGGACCATAAGGAAGGCTGAGCGCCAAAGGATTGAGGCCTTTGAATTGTGGTGCTGGAGGAGACTCCTGCGAGTCCCTTGGACCACAAGGCGATCAAACCGGTCAGTCTTAGAGGAGATCAACCCTGACTGCTCTTTAGAAGGCCAGATACTGAAGATGAAACTCAAATACTTTGGCCACCTAATGAGAAGGAAGGACTCCCTGGAGAAGAGCCTAATGCTGGGAACAATAGATGGCAAAAGAACAAGGGGACGGCAGAGAATGAGGTGGCTAGATGGAGTCACTGAAGCAGTTGATGTGAGCTTAGGTGGACTCTGGGGGATACTGGAAGACAGGAGGCCTAGAGGAATGTTGTCCATGGGGTCGTGATGGGCCGGACACAACTTCGTGACTAACAACAACAACAACAGGCTCATATGAGAGAACTTGGTCCTAAATAGTATCACATTTTAAAGGTCCTATCTGACACTTTGAATTGGGCTGAAAACATAATGAGAGCCAGAGCAGTTGTTTCAGCAATGGGGTGACAAGAT